GAAATGTGAAGTGAGCAGATAAATATTTAAGTTCATTGTCTGGAACATAATGTCTTCTGAAGATATTACTTGGTATTAAATGTTTAGGACACTTAAATGTGATGAATCAAAGCTCTTCATTACATTTATGGGGAAGCACTAAACCCACAGGGGTCATAGAGAGCTTGGGGAAATGAGAGGCATTCAGGTTTAATTCAAGGAAGGTGAGCACAGGTCCAACTTCTTAAGATTGAAACCCTCCTCTCACCAGCATCAAGGAACCCCTCTTGAGGGAACAATTTAAGCCTCATGAAATATAACATGATATATTATTATAATCAAAAAGAAGCGCTAAGCCACAAGGGCTATACAGTGCTGCAGGGTAGGGAAGGAAGCGAGAGTGTTGGGCGGCAGAAGGGGGGAGGGATGATCAGTAGGTTACAGAAAACAGCGGGGCAGGGGATAGTGCGGGGGTAGAGGGTAGCAAGAGATTGAGGTAGAAAGGGCTGAAGGCATCAGAGTTTGTGAAGTCAGTTGTTGTCAAAAAGTCAATGAGAGAGTCCAGATGAAAGGTGGGTCCATCAGCGAGAAGGGAAAGTAAAGAGAGAGCAGCGGAGCGAAGACGACGATGGAGGTAAATTCTGCGTGCTCGTTGATAAAGTGGGCAGTCCAACAGAATGTGGCTGACTGATAATGGAGTCTGGCAATTCTCACAGAGAGGAGCAGGGCGCCTCTCCATGCGATATCCATGAGTAAGACGAGTATGGCCAATGCGAAGACGGGAGAGAGTAGTCTCCCAACCTTGACACTGGTGACAAGAAGACGGCCAGTAACCTATACTCGGTTTAATAGATTGAAGTTTATTACCGAGCATAGCAGACCAACATTGTTGCCAACGGGTGTGAAGGTGGGTAGCTATTGCAGCAAAATAGTCCGTAAATGGAATACCTCTATATGAAACTGGTAGGTCATGTACTGCTGACCGCACAGCAGTGTCTGCCTGTTCATTGCCCTGTATGTCAACATGACCAGGGACCCAACAAAAAACAATATCTTTATGCTTGGTAAAGATGCGGCGTAGCCAAAGTTGGATACGGAGAACTAAGGGGTGAGGTGTATCAAATTTCTGTATAGCCTGTAAAGCACTAAGGGAGTCTGAGACAACCACAAATGATGACACAGGCATAGATGCAATACAGGTAGGTGCTGCAAGAATGGCATACAATTCAGCAGTAAAAATACTAGCCGAAGATAGTAAATGCCCTCGTACGACGCTGTCCGGAAACACTGCTGCGAATCCTACGCCGTCAGAAGACTTAGAGCCATCTGTGTACACTGCAATGGCATGAGAATGAGAGTTGAAGTGGTCAAGAAAAAGAGAGCGGGAAGCGACCGTAGGCAGTTGGGCTTTCGAGCAAGGGAGAGAGAAAGAACAGACTCGAACAGCTGGAACTTCCCAGGGTGGTAGGGAAAAGTGAGATGCTACATGAACATAGAAAGGTGGTAATTGAAGAGAAGACAAGAGCGAATGTAGGTGAAGAGAGAAGGGACGGAGTAAACAGGGGCGGCGAACAAATAAAGAATGTCTACTAATATCAGTGACCATTCTATAAATGGAAGGATTGTGGAGATCATGAGAGCGTACATAGTAGCGAAGGCAATGGGCATCACGGCGATCGGATAAGGATGGAACGTTCGCTTCTACATAGAGGCTCTCAACAGGGGAAGAGCGAAAAACACCAAAGCATAAGCGTAATCCTTGGTGATGAATGGGGTTAAGGCTAGAGAGAGTAGCAGGAGAGGCCGCTGAATAGATCTGGTCACCATAATCAAGTTTCGATAAAATGAGGGTGGAATGTAGGCGAAGGAGAGTTCGACGATCAGCTCCCCATGAAAGATGAGCAAGGGTTTTAAGAAGGTTCAGCCGGCTGTGACACGTTGCCTTCAGAGAGGTAATGTGAGGTTTCCAGGATAACCTACAGTCAAAGAGGAGGCCCAGAAACCTGACTGTATCACGTTCAGGGATACGGGAGCCATAGAGGTACGAAGGATGATCGGAGGTGACAGAGCGTCTAGTGAAAGTAATTTGGTGAGTTTTGGTGCTGGAAAATTTAAACCCATGTGTGGTGGCCCAATTGCAAACACTGTCGACTGCATGCTGGAGAGAAACTGTAATAAGGTGACAGTCAGCGCCTGCACAGGCAATAGCGAAGTCATCAACATAAAGTGATGACCAAATATTTGATGGAAGACTAGAGGCCAAATCATTTACAGCAAGGAGAAAAAGTGTTGTGCTCAGAACACATCCCTGGGGGACACCTTCAGCTTGGATAAAGTCCGGGGAGAGCACATTATTAACCCGAACACGGAAATGCCTGTCAGTTAAAAAGTTCTTAAGGAAGGATGGTAGATTGCCTTGTAGGCCTAAGGAGTGGGCTTGGGCCAAAATATTATACCTCCAAGTTGTGTCATATGCCTTCTCAAGGTCAAAAAATATGGCAATAACCGAGTGGTTATTCGCAAAGGCATTATGAACATACGTATCCAAGCGTAGTAAGGGGTCTATGGTAGAACGTCCCTTAAGAAAGCCATATTGACGAGTGGAGAGACTCTTGTGTGTCTCTAAATACCACACTAAACGTCTATTTACCAGGTGTTCCATCACTTTGCAAACTGCACTGGTAAGAGCAATGGGATGATAGTGGGAGGCTTCATGTCCCGTATTGCCTGGTTTGCAGAAAGGGAGAACAATGGCAGATTTCCACAGCTGTGGAAGAACTCCTTGTGACCAAATAAGATTGAAAAGGTGTAATAGGACTGCAAGGGCTCGCCAATTCGTAAATATCACTGATACATCAAAATTCACAAGAGCAGAATTTCGTCAATTTTCCATCAAATTTCGTACTTTTTGTTTTATTACCTTCAGAAAAAGATTCTCTAAAATTACATAAGAAAAAATAATTTTTTTTTTTAAATTCTTGGACACTGGTGCACCCTTTAAAATTTGGCCCCTGGACCCTGAAAGGGTTAAAACTGCATAGTACAAAAAAGTATAGAGAAAACAAGTCATGTTTAAGGAAACCATGCAAGTACAAATATTTTTTTTTCAACATGTTGGTCGTCTCCCACCGAGGCAGGGTGACCCAAAAAGAAATAAAATCCCCAAAAAGAAAATACTTTCATCATCATTCAACACTTTCACCATCACTCATACATAATCACTGTCTTTGCACAGGCACTCAGATATGACAGTTTAGAAGTCCCTCCAACCTGCCAATATCCCAAACCCTTCCTTTAAAGTGAAGGCACTGTACTTCCCATCTCCAGGACTCAAGTCCGGCCTGCCTGTTTCCCCGAATCCCTTTATAAACATTACCCTGCTCACACTCCAACAGCACATCAAGTCCTAAAAACCATTTGTCTCCATTCACTCCTAACATGCTCATGCATGCTTGCTGGAAGTCCAACCCCTTTGCACACAAAGCCGCCTTCACCCCCTCCCTCCAACCTTTCCTAGGCCAACCACTACTCTGCGTTCCCTCCACTACAGATTTATACACTCTCGAAGACATTCTATTTTGTTACATCCTCTCTACATGTCCGAACTACCTCAACAACCCCTCCTCAGCCCTCTGGATAATAGTTTTGGTAAACCTGCACCTCCTAATTTCCAAACTATGAATTCTCTGCATTATACTCACACCATACATTGCCCTCAGACACATCTCCACTGCCTCCAGCCTGTAAAAAATGGATACTAAAAGAAAAATTTAACTGAAATATTGTATAGTAAACGAAAATTTAACTGCCTCTTACCTGTCAGAGAGCTAAAGGCAAGTCTAGCAGCTTCAAATCTTGCAGGAGAAAGCTGGTAGGCCTACATGTGAGAGAATGGGTCTGCATGGTCAGTGTGCACAGTATAAAAAAATCCTGCAGCACACAGTATGAGAAAAAAAACTGCAACTTACTTTGTGGTGTATTTTTGTATGATATTTATAATTGTTTTCTCATTTTCTTTGTCTCAACTGATAGAAATGAAGATATATTACAGAAATAGAGATGATTTTTAATGGTTTAAAGACTAAAAGTAGTTTGAAATTGAGCTCAAAATAGCAGAAATGCTCAATTTTTACTGATGTTGAAGAGCAAACAAATCATGTCATACATCCAACACACAAGTGGTGGGTCTAATATGCATTCACAAATGAGGTGATATTTATATAATTATGCAGTAGTCTGAATAACGGTAAATCTTCTATTTTTTGTGTGAATAAAAATTCAAAATGAAAAGCAACCGTAATATAAGAGGGGCCTGGAGACATGACTAATGAACATATAAAATGTTATTTTAGTGCCAGGAATGTCTGCACTGTTTATGCTGAACCCTATTTTGAAATTGGCCTTTCTTGAATTTTGTGTGAACCTGTCCAAATTAGTAATTTCAGATCACTTTATTGGGTAGTTGAAACAGGTAAATGGGCAGTTTCTTGTACTCAATTGATAAAATAAAAAGAGTTCTAGTGAAATAGCTACGAGTTTGGTTGACTGGAACAATGGAATTGGCCAAAAATAGGGCTCAAAATGGCCGAAACTGCCCATGCGTAAATATCGCCCAGACTGCCAACTTCACAATAGCATAATTCCACAAGTTTTCCATCAAATTTTGTACTTTTGGTTTCATTACCTTCACAAGATGCACAGCAGGAGCTCAAGAGATGTTTACAGCATGCATGTTAGTCACTATACTGACTGAGACCCACACCATGGACTGTCTGATCACGTGATCCAAGTGTTGTCAGTCGACAACCAAGACCACGTACAAAAACCAAATCAAATAAATCAGTTTGAAAACCGATTTGTTCGACTAGTCCATTCAACAACCGAGGTTCCACTGTAGTTGTTAATCGCAACAAATTAAAATTTGCTTTTAAGACTTATTGCAGCTTCCAAATTCTTGCAATATGAATTTAGAAACTAAATGCTGACACTTTTAATCACAAGGTACAAGAAAATTATATCAATGATGTTTATTTATATATTTTTGGCATGGATTCACTAGCCAATATTCTTTGATGCTGAAAATCATATAAATTAAAACAGATACATAAAAATAGTAAAATTATTCAACGCCATTACTATAAGTGTGCCAAATGCTTCCTCTGCTCGAGATTTGCCAAATACATTACTGTACTGCCAAAAACTGTGATGAAGCACCCTCCTTAATCCAAACCAAATATAGTTTGCACCTGTAAGAAAAAAAAAAAAAAAAGCAAGTTTGAAATAAAACAAATTATGGAAATAAATGGTATAAAATACCGACACAATGGAAATATAAACAAATGCAGTATAATGTGATCCTTTATTGACAACATTTCACCCACATAGTGGGCTTTTTCAAGTCACACACGGATCTACCTGGGGTTGGAAGGTACGAGAGTATTTATAGTCAGAATGTTGAGGTCAGGTGGAGAATGCTGCATCTGATGATCTACCGGGTGGGGTTATAGAGTCTTGGGTAGCTTGGCAGGGGTATTGGACAAGTTGTAGACCTTCTGCAGTGTTCTATGTTCTTATGTGGGATAGCAATGAAGAAGAACATAAGAACATAGAACACTGCAGAAGGTCTACAACTTGTCCAATACCCCTGCCAAGCTACCCAAGACTCTATAACCCCACCCGGTAGATCATCAGATGCAGCATTCTCCACCTGACCTCAACATTCTGACTATAAATACTGTCGTACCTTCCAACCCCAGGTAGATCCGTGTGTGACTTGAAAAAGCCCACTATGTGGGTGAAACGTTGTCAATAAAGGATCACATTATACTGCATTTGTGTTTATATTTCCAAAACAAATTATACAAATTTCGTGTTGGACTGGATTTGAAAGCTTCTGATGCAAATGTCTAAAGACACTTTCCTTTGGAAATAATTATCACATTGCCATATACTAAACTAGTGGCAGCATTCCAACTTCTTCCACCCCAACTCTTCATCCAGTAATTCATCTTCATTTAGGCAATACAATAACAAGCAATAAAATCATTAACACCTCCAGTGATGCAATTTTTTTTCTCCTCAATGACACAAACAATTTAGGTATTTATCAAAAGGTATCATGAAAAGCACAGTTATTCAGCATTCTAGTCCTCAAATTCTCATAAAACATCATGTTCTTGGCCACTTCTGTTTAATTAAGCTTTTCTATATAGCCAAGTTACGTCACAGGCCACATTAATTGATACAAAATTTGCACCAGCTAAAGCTCTCTGCTAAATATTGAAGCTCCAACTTATCAATTCAAATACAATCTAACAACTCAATACCTGTCATCATCTAAATTAATATTTTGATAAATTAAAGTAAAAAGCCCTAGAACAATCAGTAACATTATCAGTTTCAAGGTAATTTCTACACAAAAGAAATTACAGCTTTTGTTCTGATGCTTTTTGAAGGATTACTGTACTTTAAATAACCTTAAGTACCGAAAGATGACAAAACAATAATGTAGGTATCTTTACCTCTATGTTAACCATCACTGTCCCATATAAACCACATCCCTTTTTTTGACTCACACTTATGTACAAATATTATAAAAGGATACATTCATCACAGGAGGAATTTTACAGTGGCAGCTCAATGAATAAATATTCATAATGATGAAATTCTAACTGCTAGCTGTTAGTGTTAGTTTAATAATTTAATATTAAATCAATATCATCTATAAAAGATGAACACATTACAAATTTCAAGCAAACCATGAGAATATTAGAAAATATCATCTATGTCCAGAGCCAAGGGAAAACCCCTGTCTCTTCATCATTACTTGCAGAACATTATCTTATATTGAAGAAACTTATAAAATAAGATCTGGAATGCCCTCTGCAGCAGGGTCATGGATGAACATGAACAGCTTCACACTGGTCTCAACATGGTCAACAGCATGCTGAGAACACCTGCCCAAGACTTCACTGCAATCTTTGACCGTCCTCAACAAGAAGTTTTTCAGCAACTATCAAGGGTCATGCTATGAGCAATGCCTCAGGTATCCCCTTAGCAAAACTTGAAGATCACTAAGGCATAATATAAAGGAAGCTAAACAATGCTGCATTTGCTGATCCAAGGGCAGGCCTGGGTATTTGTGATATTTTGAAGGAAGCTCCACTTTTCATAAGCTTCTCTCTGGATGACATGGTTCAATCAACAGCAACCCAGACAGATTCCAGGCTACTACTAGTGCTGCCACTCCATAACTAATAGTACACTAAAACTACTGGTCTGGTGGAAGAGCTTTCAGTTCCTTTATCTGTTTAATTAGATAAGCTTTCTCATCATTAAACTGTTCATCTTCAGAGCGGTCTGTATGGAAGCGTGTCAAGAACTCTACAAGCTTATCCTGGTTTCGCAAGAGGATTTCCAGGATGGGGCGGGGTTTGTCTGGATTGGCAACAAACACCTTAAACACATGGAAGGCTTCAAACTGGATATTACGAGATCTCTCCTTTAACATTATCATCATCAGTTTTAAGTTGTCTGGATTACTGATGTACCGCTTCATCACCTGAAATATTAGAAATTTTATTAAAAACAAGATTGTAGTTCATAACAAATTATAATATTTATATATAATCATAAAATGATTTATTCTAAAACATTCCCTTCTTGAGTAAGTGACTTCAGGATGAAAATCTTAAAAAATGTCTTTCTTATTTTCAAACAACAAAAATGGCAAAAAGAGTCAAATTTGCTGAAAATGTAACTGCATCAATTAATGCAAAATTTAAAGAGTTCCCAAATGCTTTTATCATAAAATAAAACTGACCTGAAGGAATAATTGTTGCCAAAGCCAGCTTACTTAAGTAGAACAATATGATAAAAGTAGGAAATGAGTCACAAAAATAAAATTATTTTCATGTATTCATAAAACATTTTGTTTCACATAACTCCCAAAACCTAAATATTTGAAAAACTGACTTACAGAAAAGTTATGTCTGTCTAATAAAAGTTCCCCAAGTAACTTGAGTGACTGTCTTCGAGTCACGTAGTTGTCGGAGTTGAGGAGATTCTTATACTGCGAGAACACCCGATCATAGTTTTGTTCTAGGAACTCTGCACACAGCATCTTGTGTTTCGTGAGAAGTTCCTAGAAAAGGTTTGCCAATTTAGTTATATATCACAGCAAAACACCTCATTACAAAGGTACCAAGAGAGGTAAATAGAGTAAAATGGTGAACTGTAATTCATTACTAGGGTAACAAAGAGAAAGACGTGCAAAAGGGTGAGCTATAAGAAGCAGGAGCCTGTACAATTCAAATGAAACACCCAACAAATATTTGGAATAGTCTAGCACTTAAATTCAAATCCACCCAAGAAAAATAAGTGAAGATTTACATACCTTAAATGTGGAAAAGGCATCAGATGCAATATCAAAGGTAGATACTTCTACATACTTAAAGAAGTTATAGAAGTCATCACTATTGAGGATGATTCTTGTAAGGGCCTCGTATCTGGCACACTCTCGAAGCATCGTGCCACAATGAAGAGCGATATCCTGGTGTTCATATCTATCCACCAGAAGGACTTAGTATTAATGGAGATTCTGAAGCTTTTAAAATCTGACAGAAAAACAGTATATTCTTCAGCAGCCACTGACTGGCGGGTACTTTCTAGAACAGATCACTATTTTTGACAGGCGGTCAACTTATCACAGCATGAGCAGTGCTAATAGCCTGATTCCAACCATTTCCCTTTCAATTCAAAGATACTAAGAAATCAAGCTACAGTGTGCCAATCCCTAAACAAAGCTCCACATGAAAAACAAGTTCAGATTAAATTACTTTATTCACAGTGGAGAACAGTGTTGCTATGCAGTTATTTTAATAAATCAAGCTTATATAGGTGTATAGCATACAAGTAGATCCCCTCTAATGTAAATTTATCCAACATCAGGAATGCCTTGGGCACCAACTAAATCCATCCAATCCCACTGTTTGAAAGTTCTTTAATGATACAATTGTACAATAAATATCTTAAGATTTCAGTATGCTACAAAACTCACTGTCCCAAAATTAAAGAAGTTCCTCTAGTTATAGTTGCCTGTTAAAAATATTATCCTGAGAAGCAAGAGGCTAAATGACAAGAAAAATGACATATTAGCAACAGCCACCTTGAGGAGTATTGTATTTTATTAAAAAATACTCTTCCACCTAAAGATATTTCTAAATTCACTTATTCTCATTCTCTCATTTTTTATAATTTACACAAGGGGTTTTATAGGATTAGGTTATTTATATGCAGAGTTGTTACCCATCTCAGTTCACTTGAAAGCCTTTTTACTGTTATGATAGAGTGAACAACAATGAAAGTGCTTCTTCTTTCTCGGGTCACCCTGCTTCATTGGGAAATGGCTGATGTGTTAATAATAATAATAATAAAAAAAAAACATACAAACAGGGAACAGGATGAAGTTGGAGCCAGCTGTGGGCCAACACTTTCATTTGGTCAACTGACTATTTCATTAGTGTTGTTATATTGTATGAACATGTTCCAGACTCAAGTTATTCTAGGAATGAATGAACTCAGATGAAGTGATGTTTTTGAGAAGGGTATAACCAGAATGTAACTGCCGTCTGCTACCCGTCTTGTTGTAGAGAAGATGTCTTCTCGCCGTACTGGCCTTGTACATCTCTCCAGGGCTGCAGGCTCTGCTGGATTGACAGATCCATCCAGGCAAGAGATAAGTGGTCTTGTTCAGATCTCTATTCTGTCCAGAATTTGTAGATGAGATGAAGGCAGAGGCAATCCAAGTGGAGCATACTCATATTGGGCATTTGTGCCTCGTAGAGTTTTGTAGCCTCTACTATTGAGCAGGTACAAGATATGCCTTAGTGATCTTAGCTTTCTGGTTACTTTGATTAGAAAAATTTACCACAAGGATCTTCATAGATGGTTTGTAATCACATTTCATCCCTAGGATATCCATCTCATGCCTGAGTTCTAACATTATTCTTACCACTACTCCAGCATTAACATCATGGTACCCAGAGACCCCTGTAATTGTTTTACATGATGGTAGGATTGCTGGTGTCTTTTGTCTGTTTCATAAATATGCAAGATTACATGTACGTCTTGCTACTTCTACTTACACTTAGGTCACACTACACATGCATGTACAAGCATATATATATACACACACCCCTCTGGGTTTTCTTCTATTTTTCTTACTAGCTGCAAGTTGGTAATTGATGTACCTGAGAGCAGCTAGCATTTCCTTTCTTGGATAAGTAAATGTCAGAGTATGGTCATCTGCATAGGAATGGGATTCTGGGATGAGGTGGTCACTGATAGCACACATTCCTATGAAACACTGGCACCAATTAAATGTATTGTTGTACCACTGAGAACTACTCTTAGAGATCTTTCTTCTTTCAACAAACTGGCAGTATCTCACCAAAACAGTGGCCCAAAAAGAAAAACAAAAGTTTCTCTTTTTAATTCTAGTAATGTATACAGGAGAAGGGGTTACTAGCCTCTTGCTCCCAGCATTTTAGTTCCCTCTTTGACATGCAGGGTTTTACGGGGAAGAATTGTTCTACTTTCCATGGAGATAAGAGGAAATAAAAACAAGAAAAAAAACTAGAAAAGAAAATAGAAAATCCAGGGGTGTGAATACATGCATGTGTTGGGGCCCCCAAAGGTAGAAGTGCAAGATGTCCCTGAAATTTGCATGTTTATGAGACAGAAAAAAGACACTAGCAACCCTCCATCATGAAAACAATTAAGGTTTCCATTTTACACTCATTGGCAGGACGAGTACCCCCCTGGGTGGTTATGTCTACCAACCACTACCTGGGTCTTAGAGATTCCTTGACAGTAACGCTGGAAGTTTAGTGCAAGTCAGAGCCTTCAAGTGTTCAGAGTTCTGCCAGGAATCCCTAGTACAGTACTTAGTTAAAAACACCAGCAATGCCCAGTGCTACTATACAGCTGATCTTGGATTAATCCAGAAATGGGTGGCACACAGTGGAGAAGTTTAACAGATCAAGAGCAGAGTGACCTTTTCCAAAGCCATACTGATGGTCACACAGAACTAAGTGGTAGTCAAAAAATGCTGTCATTTGCCATGTCTCAAGAATTTTGCCAGTGATTGGTGTAAGTGACACTGGTCTACAGTTGTTGATTTCTGCTCTGTTTTTCTTTTTGTTAACACAAACTACGTTTGCCTTTTCACAGTCGTCATTTACACTGCTGATAGATGCAACTTATACGTGATGCTAGCCGGTCTGCACATCTACTCAGCAATGTTGGGTTCACCTAATCTGGACCCACAGCCTTTTCTTGGTTCAGTAAAGGTGATGCTAGCTGGTCTGCACATCTGCTCAACAATCTTGGGCTCACCTTATCTGGGTCCATAGCCTTTTTTGTGGTTCAAGGATTTAAGGAAATATATTTTATCCTTCCTTACTGTCACCTCTGAAAACTTTGACCAGTTTCTTGGGTTGCAGGGGATTCCTAATGGACAAGGGGCTTTAAATCTTGGTGGCAGTATTCAGTAAAAGGGCAGCTTTTTCTTGCTAATCATAGCTAGTCCCCATCCTGCCCAAAAACCACCAGGGTTTTGGAGCACACTCTTCCCATGTAGTTTCTTCACGTCGTCCCCACATTAGCGATGGCTCCTCTTGCAAAAAGGCTTTCTTGTGGGGGTTCTTGTACGATAGTGGGAAAGCCCCCCTTTTTCCTTCTCCAGCCTTTTGTTAGCACAGCGACCCTCGGGAATGAAAAACCCAAACCAAAACCCAAAGCTGTGTTTGGGTTTAAGGCTATTTGAAAGACATTCACTTGGTTATAACATCATCTGAAGAAAACCTTCAAACTGGAGGTAGTAAGTCTAGCGCTATTATAAATCAATAAATCAATAAATCAATAAATCAATATATATATATATATATATATATATAAAATTTTTATAAAAATTTAAAATGGGAATTGACACAGTTATTTTTGCTAGAACTGTGCTTATGGGGGATTAAAGAAAAAAAATTTCAAAGGTTAGTGGATGAGTTTTAGAAGTGTTAAGGTAGAAAGTTGAAAATGAACATAAAAGGTAAAGGGGATGGGGTATCAAAAGATTTAGATAAAGAAAAAATTGGATACAAAATTGGGGGGGAGGGGTATGGAAGAAGTGAATGTTTTCGATACTTGGGAGTTTGACAAGTCGGCGGTGGTTTATGAAGGATGAGGTTTTAAAATAGAATTTTTTGAGGGAAAAAAAAAATGAGTGGTGCGTTGGGTATATGTGGAGTCAAAAAAAAAGTTATCTATGGAGGGGAAAGAAGGGAATGTATAAGTAATTTGTACCAAACTCTTATATGGATGTAAGCTTGGGGGGGAAATGCAGCGCGAGGGGACGGTTTTGGGGGAGTGGGGAAATTTCCGCTAAGGGGAAGTGTGGTGTAAATATTATGCAGAAAAATTTGGAGTGTGGAAATTGGGGAAGGTGTGGGTTAATAAAAGCATTAGCAAAAGGGCAGAAGAGGGTTGTTGAGGGGTTTTGGGCATTAGAGAGAATGGATCAAAGTAAAAGACATGGAAAGCATATAAATCTATAGGGGAAGGGAAAAAGGGGGGAGGGGTCGCCTCGAAAGGGTTTGGGAAAAGGGGGGGTAAAGGAGGGTTTTTTGGGGGAGGGGGGTTGGGTTCCCGCAAAAGTTTCATGAGCGTGTTAGTAGGAGTGAATTGGAGACGAATGATACTTGGGACCTGCATCGTTGGATGTGAGGGAAATTATTTAGTGAAAGGGATTCAGGGAAACCGGTTATTTTTTTATAGTCGGAC